GTGCTTAGTTGCTGGCTGGGGCTAAACCACGACACCTTGCAGTAATGCACACAATACCAAAGCTACTGCTAGATTTAATCTAATATAGTTCATAAACATGTCACATATTTATATTTTTAGCTACCAGTCTTTTCAAGGCTTTTTTCACCTCTTTATTCCTCAAGCTGTAAATCAAAGGGTTCATCATTAGAGATATCAGTGTGTAAGACAAAGCAGTTTGTTACAGCTGCTTGAATAAAACGCTTTGGGTCTCAAGTAGGTGACAAGGGCAGATCCGTAAAACAGAGTGACCATGACCAGAGGAGACGAGCAGGTAGACAACGTTTTTCTCCTGCCCGCAGCGGATGGCATCTTGAAGATGCTGTGGAGTACCTGGACATATGACACAACGGTGAGTAAGAAGGGGACCATGATGAAGAGGACAGCTATTATGTAGGTGGTGATTTCATTCTTGTAGGTGTCCACACAAGCCAACTTCAGCAGATGCAGCAGATCACAGAAGAAGTGACTGATCCTGTTGGGCCCACAATATGGAAGGCTAAAGATGAAAGCTGTCTGCCCTAAGGTCACCAAGACCCCAATAAGCCAAGATACAACTGATAGCAGGAAGCACTTATTCCAGCTCATCATGGTTGCATAGCACAGGGCATGGCATACAGTCACATAGCAAACATAGGCCATGGCAGACAGCAGACAACATTCTGTGACCCCTAAGAGGGAGAAGGCATACGTCTGTGTGGCACAACCCAGAAAGGATATGCCTTTCCTTTTTGTGAGGACATTCACCGCCATCTTGGGGACTGTGGATGTAGTGTAGCCAATCTCCAGGAAGGACAAGTTCTTGAGGAAAAAACATATGGGGGAGTGAAGGGCAGCATCTACCATAGTGATCATAATGATGGGGATGTTTCCAACCAAAGTACTGAGGTACATAAGCAATACCAGACAAAAGAGAAAGCCTTGGATCTCTGGAATGCTGGAGAAAGGTAAAAATTGGAAATAGGTCACCACTGTGTGGTTCCAGCTGGTCATGTCCCTCAGGTTTCTTTTTAAATGCAGAAATCATTACATATCCATTTTCTAGTTAATCTAGAGAAATACAAAATAGGAAATTAAATATTTATATATATTGCTTTGTAATAGGACAAGATCCCAAAAGAGGAAGTGATATTTTACTGACGTGTTTCAGTATTTTTAGTACTAAAGATGTTTAGAAGAGGGAGGGAAGGTGGTTCCCTTCACATAGCTTTTGATAAGTAAGAAAAACTTTTCCAAATGAGTGTACTTCACTTCCAGTCAATGGGAAGGAAGATATGTCTTCTGTATGATGGCAGAATATTTTATTCCTCCTGCCTTTCAGGATGAGGATTGTACTCTACTGCCCCAGTCTTTGAAGTGGACTTTTCTCCCATTAGCCAGCTTAGATCTGCTACCCTAACACCTGCTGCCAAGCAAAGAAGGCTGGTCTCTTAGAACACGGAAATGATTAATCTGCTGATAAAGCAGTTTTTCTGGCAATGAGTTCCTCTTGCTATCATTCTGTGGATGGGGTTCATTCTACAAAAGAATCACCTACTGACAACAGATAATCCTGTATACACTCTGTATACACAGTACCACACATGGTTACTATCATCAGTGTGTGTCTTCACTTCTATCCCACCTGCACACTGCATAAAACCAAAACTAGTACAAGTCCACAAAAAAAGGTAAAACCGAGAGCACATGCTATCTTTTGTTTCTCCACTCAGGATTAGGTCAAGTTCAGCATAGTGTGAACAGACAGGAGGCAATAGGCACAAATAGAAATACAGGAAATTCCATTTAAAAAGAAGTGAAGGTTTTCTTGTTTGGTTTGTTGTTGTTTTATGTTGAGTTTGGTCAAGCACTGGAGTAGGTTACCCAGAGAGGCTGTGGAGTCTCCACTTTTGGAGATACTCAAAATCTGACAGGACATGGCCATGAGCAATGTGCTCTAGCTGACTCTGCTTTGAGTGGGGATTTTTATCAGATGATCTCCACAAATCCCTGCCAATCTTGACTGTTCCATGATTCTGTGAAATTAACTTTTTACAGAATGGTACACATGCAGTTTTCCTCTCATAATTTATCCAAACACTAGAGAGATGTTTTTGAAGGTTTTTTTTATACATTGAAGAGGACAGGGAAGACTTTCTGTTTAAAATAGCTGTTCTGATTTCATTGACATAATTTGAATGGGATGGGAGACATAACTTTCAGTTAATAAGGAAAAAGCGAGGCTCAAAGCACACATATGTGCAAACACACACATACACAGAAAACCCCAGATATTATAACTCCTTCCTATTAATAATTAGAATAAGAAAGTGCTAAAGAATGTGGATCACTCTCCAGGAAATTACCTTTGTCCCAGGCACTCTTCAGGAGGAGCATTTCTTTTCAAAAATAAAAAAAGTCTTGGAATTTATTTTCTATTCTAATAGTCCATTGACTCTGTAGATAGGTAAGTCTCCCTTAAAGAGAAGCCCTGTGTAGGTGGCAGAACGATAACATACAGAAGAAGAGAATGAAGACTGAGGTAAAATAAGGTAGTTCATTTGTCATTAGGAGAAGGCTGTGGTTAATATTTCTGGAAAAGCCGCATCACAAACCTTGAGTATTTTCCCAGTGGAAAATAATCTGTTGGGTATTGATCGCTTGCAATTGTAGGAGACAGTTATTTTTTACTCATTGTTTAGGTATGACAAAACCCCCTCTCCTGTTAGCTCCTGGAACTAATTCTAAAGAAAGACCTATAGAGCACTTGCGTACCTGTTTTAATTTGTTATTTTTTTAACCAGTCATGGTCTTGGGGCTGATCCCACCTAACTTTAGGGATAAAATTTTGCTGTGGAAATAAACTACACAAACTAGGCACAGGAACAAGGCTTTGCAGGAGGAGAGAACATGTGGATAGGTCATGTCTAACTGGCTCTCTAATTAATGGTAAGGGACAGGCCCCTCCATGGGAGAAACTCGTCATGCCAACTCAGATTGTTCAGAAATTAATCTCTATGGATAATAGTTTCTGTCTTTATTTGGGTGAATCATACTATGGTTCTGTTTAATTAAACAAAGATACAGCATTTTCAAGCAGTCACTTACCTTGTCATGCAGAAGATACCTGCATCACATTAGGTGATTCTTCCCTACAAAATCACTTTCTGGTGTTCACAGGAGATGACTAGAATGCAGAGGTCACTCTACAGTTGATGACTAAAGATAAGAGCAGGCAAAGACAGTCCTAAGGCCAGGTGAAAGAAATCCAGAGTGAATGAGATGTCTTAACACTGGCAGTGTGGATATCAGTCAGCAAATCCACTTTTAATCAAATATAACCCCCAGATTTCTGGAACAAATTGCTCTGGTCTCTGCCTGCACTTTGGTCAAAATCACCACAACACTACAAGTGGAATTTTTCTGTATTGATTCAAATAACCAACATCTACTGAGAAAATTCTAAGTTCATCATTTGGGCCCTGTTCTGATCTGTGGGGTGGGGGAGGGGTCAGGAGGAGCAGCGGAAGCAGTTCTCCGTTGTATGATTTATCTGAAAAGCTGCAGTACATGCCTGTCAGAGTCAGGAGATAGTCAAGTCTGGATGCAGTTTTACGCTCAACTGAGTTTAACTGGGGTCTGTTTCAATGCTTAACGTCCAACTGAAATGATGTCATGCCAGTTAGCATCCTAAGCGGCACATTGCTTTCCTTGTGACTGTGGAAGATAGGCATCACCTCTTCTGCATTTGGAGGGGTATTGAGGTAAGGATATTGACTAATTGACTAATATTTTTTGTAGATTTCTGAAATGCAGATGAGAATTTGGAATCCCGTGTCCAGAGTTCGCATTTCCTGAGAGAGGACAGTAAAACTTAAAGGAGGTAAATTCCAAAGTGGAGAAGCTTGCTGACATTCAGTTTTGTGCAGTTTCTGTTGTCCTCATCAGGACTATTTAAAGGTAAGGTAAAAGCATTCCATTCTTTATAAAAAGCTAAGTGCAGGGGTAAATTCTTCCCTCATTTTTACACTTTCAATTTTTATCAGTAGCGGTGATTTATATATCAAAGTCTGGACTGGAAAACGGGGGGAGGAAGGATAGTTAGGGTAAACATTGTGACTAATTTTAAAGATATCATTCTGCATTTAGTTTCTTAGACCTGTGTGCCAAATGTTACCAACATGACACCCCAAATGTATTTTCCAACTTCATGCAGCTATGCACATTCTATGGCAGTGCAACTCTATTAAAAATAGGAAATTAATGAGGAAAAGGAAAGGACTTGTGACAACTATCTTCAGCATACGCTTACTTGGTTTACACAAAGCTGAGTGAGAAGAGAATGATACACTTACTGTACTGTACTAGTTTTGGCTGGGATAGAGTTAAATTTCATCAAAGTTGCTTGTATGGGGCTATGTTTTTGATTTATGATGAAAACAGTGCTGATAACACAGGGATGTTTTAGTTATTGCTGAACAGTGCTTGCACAGCATTGAGTTTTCCTCACACTGGTCTGCGGGCTGGGGGTGCAGAAGGAGTTGGGAGGGGACACAGCTGGGACAGCTGACCCCAACTGACCAAAGGGATATTCCATAACATATGACATCATACTCAGCAATAAAAACTGGGGAAAAGAAGGAGGAAGGGGGAGGATGTTCAGAGTTATGGTGTTTATCTTCCCAAGCAACAGTTATGTGTGATGAAGCCCTGCTTTTCTGGAGATGGCTAAACACCACCCTGTTGATGGAAAGTAGAGAATGGATTCCTTATTTTGCTTTGCTTACCCATGCATCTTTTGTTTACCTGTTAAACTGTCTTTATCTCAACCCATGAGTCTTGCCACTTTTACCCTTCCAGTTCTCTCCCCCATCCCACTTGGTGGGGAGGGGGTGAGTGAACAGCTGTGTGGTGCTTAGCTGCTGGTGGGGGCTAAACCATATGTATCCCTGATCCTTACTTATAGAATAAGACTCATGTTCCCACAACTTCAGAAAGGTATCTGAACAAGCACCTCAATCTGCATAGCAGATTGTGCAAAATGAGCAAGTCATGCATCTGCCATTAGAACTCCCAAACATACATCCTAGATCATGATGGTCTAATATCAACATGGTTTGTAGTTGGTCATTTACTGGCTAGTGGCCACTCCCCTTACAAGAAAGAACATAGCAACAACACTGAAGTGGGAAAAACTTCTGGGAACACCATCTCTGAATACAATTATTTAGTGTCATAACAGGAGACCTGAAACATTGTGGGAGTCACTGGCATCCAGCAAAGACAAGCCAGCCAGTCTATGGTACACGTATGCAGGTATGGAGCTGATGTTCACTGACAGTTGTGTGACAGTTAAGATTCCCAGACTGAAAAAAAGCAGCAAAGTCCCATAACTTTTGTGCAAGATCTAAAAGAATATTCTGCCATTGTAGCCTTGTTCCATTTTGCATTTGAAGACAGAAAATAATAACCCTCTCCATTGGTTCTCCCTACAAAGTTAATATTGCTATTACACAGGAAAAAAATAGTATAAAAGCCTTTCTGCTATTTTCTAAGTTGAGTTTGGAGTCTCCAGCAGTTTGCATTCCTTCCCACCATGATCATCCTAGGTGGGGATAGGAACATATCTATTCTTAGTGACCAGGGATCTGTTCACTGAAAAAGTGCTGTCCCAACAGATTTCAGTGACCACTTTGCAGGCCTCCCAATTACCATTAGTGACTGCTATTTCAGGATACATGGTAATATGCTTTCCTGGAGCAAATTGAGACAAAGATCACAGAATCCTAATAGAATCATAGAACCATAGAATCATAGAATCATAGAATCATAGAATGGTTTGTGTTAGAAGGGACCTTTAAAGATCATCTAGTCCAACCCTCCTGCAATGAGCAGAGACATCTTTTACTAGATCAGGTTGTTCAAAGCCCCATCCAACCTGACTTTGAACACTTCTAAGGATGGGGCATCCACAACTTCTCTGGGCAACCTGTTCCAGTGGCTCACCACCCTCA